ATAAGTAACAGCAACCTAAATGAATAGTGTAAGGATAAAAGAAGTACATGGTGCTATGAACACCCACAAGGGACCTATCAGATAGGCTGGCAGTAGGAAGGGAAGGTCCTCTGGAGGAGGTGACATTTCAGATGAGACTGAATGACTTCAGGGTTAAGACTGAATGTACACATCGATTCTTGCTTTCTCAAAAAGCTCCACTAAAATCAAAGATACTCAAAAAAATAAAAATAAACCCACAAGAACAAGGAGAACATCCTCTGGAGGAGGTGACATTTCAGATGAGACTGAACGACTTCAGGGTTAAGATTGAATGTACACATCAAATCTTGCTTCCTCAAAAAGCTCCACTAAAATCAAAGTTACTCAAAAAAGTAAAAATAAACCCACAAGAACAAGGAGAATAGAAAAGGGACAAGAGAAATAAATTTTGGAACCTCAAGAGATGGACGACTGGTCTATGACTTAGCAGAAAGCTGAATAAATCCTAAATCAGCAAAGGAGGATTGGGGGAGAGCTGTTTGAGAAGAATATGAGCTCCGGGCTCCTCCTCCACACCCTACTGCTGGATAACGGCCCCTCCCCTACTCCAGCAGGAGACTAGAAATTTATTCACTAGGAAGGGTAAAAGAGAAAGTTCTTGACCAACAACACAGTTCGGTGACCATACACGACGAAGGATTAATATTGATGTCCTAGCCAATTGCCCTACTCACTTCAAGAACACAGGCACCAGCCCTTCGCCATTCAGATGGGCAATTTGGGGAACTTCCTCTGGGGAATGTGACTAGTCCGTGAGGAAAGACTAAAAATACTGATACCAGGACTTCTACAAAAAAAAAATGGCCCACCTAGATTCCTCCAGGGAAGCTCCAAATCAACAAGCTTCACACACAGGTTCTGACCCTCATTTCTTAATCATGCACAGAGAACCAAGAATTAATTACCAAACATCTGAGGAAAGCTTCTAGTATGGAAGATAGAGACCAAGCAAACAAATAAAAGGCAAACTAATAAAAAGTATCTTGGAGGAAATAGATATGATGCATGAAGAAAAAAATTAAGGAAAACAAACTATTAACATCCCCACACAGATAAGATAGTTCAGTCATGAAACAAACAACAAAAAAGGATTCTATAAAAACAGAAGGATTCAGAAAACAAAAAGAGAACTCAATAGTAGGGTTGAAGACACAGTGAGTAAAGTAGACAATAAAGATAAATGTAAAATAGAGAGAAGATGAGAAAATTAGAGAGCCAGGCCAGGCAAACCAACATCCACATAAAGGATTTCCAAAAAGTGAGAACAGAGAAAATGGAGGGTATAAATCATCAATGAAATAAATCAAGAATATTTTCCTGAGGGCTTCCCTGGTGGCGCAGTGGTTGAGAGTCCGCCTGCCGATGCAGGGGACACGGGTTCGTGCCCCGGTCCGGGAAGATCCCACGTGCCGCGGAGCAGCTATGCCCGTGAGCCGTGGCCGCTGAGCCTGCACGTCCGGAGCCTGTGCTCCGCATCGGGAGAGGCCACAACAGTGAGAGGCCCGCGTACCGCAAAAAAAAAAAGAAAAAGAATATTTTCCTGAACTGATAGATATGTGTTTCTAGATGAAAAGGGTTTGCCAAGTGTCTAGCCCAGCTGATCTACATAGCATTTACCATGTATGCACAAATTACTATTTTAACTGTTTTACATGTATTAACTTGCTTAATTGTCACAACAACCCTATAACATGGTGGCTTTATAATTATCATCCCCATTTTACAGATGAAGAAAAATGAGGTACAAAATGGTTAGGCAATTAGCCCAAGTTCACACAGCTAGTAAGTGGCAGGGCCAGGATTTGAAAGCAGGTAATGGAGCCCTAAAGCCCACTACACAATACTACCATGCAGGAGGGAGTACCATTGTGAAATTTTAGAATACACTATAGACAGTTCTATTTGATTTTTTAAAAGCAGGAGTATGTACTATTTTGATAGTGCATGCAGAGCCCAGCCCCTGACTAAGAACCTGAGGGAAATCCCATGCAGGCTACTGTTCCCATCTCCAAACACAACTTCCTTCTGTCCAATACTGTATCCTACAAATTCCAGTTACATCAGAAGCTCTAAATTCCTATTCCCGTCTCCCAGCTCAACAATAACACTGCTCTACTCATGGGCTCACCCCACTGCGCTGCAGCCAGGAAAAGTGACTTCAGTGCATAAGTGATGCTCACATCTCATCTTCAGGAGCACAGAACCACACTGGTTGCTATCCAACCCTTGACAACAGTTGCCTAATATGTTTTGCTCAGTCCTGTAGCTATTTGTGGCAGGATAGTAAGTCTGAAACCAGTCCTCATATGCCTGAAGATATCTTTATTTGACTCTCACATTTAAATAATTCTGGGTTCAAAATTCTTTTCCTTCAATATTTTAATATTATGCTCTTGCATCCAGTGTTGCTGTTGGGAAGTTAATGTCAACCTGATTTTTATTATTTTGCCTTATTTTGTAACTGTCTTTATTTCTCTAAGTAATAAAGCTTTAAATTTCGGTTCCATTGGTTTTAAATTCCTGTTACATTTGTTCCATCAGGTCTACTTCATCTGGCATAGGTTGCCTATATCTTTTCATTCTTCATGATGCTTTTGTTCTTTACATGTGTCATGATATTTTTTTAAGACCTGGAATTCATCTGTATTATTACTAAGACGATCAGTTGCCTCTGTTTTTTTTTTTTTTAATGTGTGCCTCTGCTTTTGATGACTACATAAGTGGTCCACTGAAAAGGGAGGCTTAGCTGGTGTCTTCAGTGTATGCATAGGAGATATGAGTTGAGTGCCTCTACTGCACTTCTCTGGGCTTAACTGCACTTATTTTCCCTGGCATTTCTTTCTCCTCAAGATATACTGCCTAGTTCCTCTATATCCGAGATTGCTTTCCCTAATTGGAGTTGGGGAAGACAACTCAGGGTCCTCCTGGCTATCTGTACTGGCATTATAGATCTCAATGCTGAGGTCAGAGCTGCAGGGAGGTACGTTGCTGGCATCGAAATTTCTATTATCTAAAGCCCTGGGTGTCTCATTTTCTGTCCTGGGCTGAAAACAGCAGTCAAAATCAATGCAGAAAAATCCAACTTGGAGCATATAATCCAAGTTTGAAAACGCAATAGATAAGCCTTTTTCAGCTCCTATCCAAGCCTGGCCCACTGAGATTACAGCTCTCACCCTGGGTTGGCCCAAGTCTCCATGTAGAGACCTCAACCCTGCCTTCTCTCTTCTCCCTTCATCCCATCCCTCAGCAATCTTCTGCTCTAGCCCATCATTTTCTAAAGATTTTCTCAGAGTTTTGATATAGCTGTCAAAGTCTGCCTCTGGATTCATTCTGTCTACCCATGTCTTTATTGGAATTTCTAGATTTCAGTGCAAGAAATGGAGCCAGTAGGATGTTTTTAGGTCATCACCTTGATAGAAGCCAGAAGCCCACCTCCTCAACGATCATTCTGGGAATACTCCCTGTGGATCCTCCAGACTACTTAGAGATGCTACAGCAGGCTGTAGGGGACACAGACCAGGCCAGCCTTGCAGGAGTAATGAAGATTAGAACCCGCAGTTTAAAACACCCGGCCAAAATTATAACAGATGACTATGAAATGGGGTGGGGCATTATTATTTAGGGTACTCTCCACCCCCACCCTAGGCAGACTCTGCAGAACAGGTTAGCTCTAATGCCAGATAGCTCTCAAAGGAAGCAAAAACATCTAAATTTCCACTGATGATATGTACTCATATCTTCATAATACACAATCCAACACTTAGAATTTTTTCATGCTTGTAAGTACCTATATTTCATCACTTATCTATTTATCATTACAGAAATTATGAAAGTCTGTCTTCTTTAGAAAGATGAGTGGAAATTTCTTTTCTGTAGTAACAAGTCATGCTGCCCCCAAAAGAAATTTATGTATCAGTAAAGAATAGTAGTTTCTTGCTATACACTCAATTCTCATTATTCACAGTAATATTCTATAAAGGCACTGTGAACACTGAATTAGCAAATCCTGAACCCCTTCCTAGCTCTGTAGGAAATACAGAGCTAGGTTCCTTCAAGCCTCTGGTCACAACATTTTCATCAACAAATCAATACATACCTTGGTTTTATGTGTGTTTCTGTTTGAGACATTTTATTCATTATATAGTTGCCTCATTAATGTTGAATATGGCCAACCACACTGTAACTCATGCCTGAATGAAGCTTATCTAACACACCTATTTTCTTCATAAGGCACATCACAGCCTTCTTGCCCTTGGAAACACTAGATAGCACTTTAGCACTACACTTGGAAGCCATTTCAAACAGCAAAATCACCAACAAAAAACACAAAAAAATGCAAAAAAACATACATGACCATGAAAAGGACACTTGCATACAGTATGAGAGTTGGACCAAGAAGGCAGAGTCTTGCCTTGTTCCACCTCAGCTGAGAATGTGTGCATTGGGTGGCTCAAATTTTTTGCCACTTTATGTATATCCATTAATGACTGCAACAGCACCCTTAGTATTGATTTGGGGGTTAAAAATAAATTTTAGCAAGTAAGAGAATTTGTAAATATAGAATCTACAAATAATGAGTATTGACTACTATATTATTATTATTATTGCTTGCATATTGATGGGAAAAAACTTTTGTTAAAGGAAAGAAGTCTAATGCTGATTTTTTTGTACACACACACACACACAAACACACACATATCACTGTTTATAATTGTTTTTAAATGATAATCTATTTTTCTTCTAACAGGTTTGTTGGTATTAATAAGTTGGAAAAAAATAAACACAATTTTTTTAAAAAAAGGAAAGAAGTCTGTAAGATGGCACATAAAGGGCATTTTGTTGACCTTGGTTCACCCCTCGCTCCTTCACCCCTGCAAACAAACCTCCTGAACCATTAAGAAACATTTTGTGCAATCTGCAGCAGTTTAGGGACTACAAACATTTTGAACATTTCGTACCAATCTGATGGGTGTCTAGGAAAGAGAGCTCCAAAACCTGTGGCAGGCAATCCAGTGTCCCTGGAAACAAGATAACAATTTTTAGAAAACATGTCAAGTTGATATTTATAAACTTTCAGAGCTATATAAAACTAATTTGGGAGCCGAATTTTTATTATAATATTTTTAAAGGATTTCCATGTTTGCAACTTTAATGCACTTTGCAAACTAAAATGTCCCAGCAAGTAAATGGAAAGAAATTTCAGCATTTTGTCCAATAACTACAATACAAGATGAAGTCTATGTCACACATTTCCACGGAAAGGCGCTATGCCAGGCTGCAGGACTACAGATGTGACTAAGAAACAGTTCCTACCCTCAAGGAACAATCTCAGAGGAAACACTTTCATATAAATAACTTGAATGTAAGTCCAACTGCTATGTAGAACATAAACAAAATGCTCAGAGAGCAAGAATATGAGAGCAATTAATTCTGATTAATGACAGCTTACCTAATTCTTACTGCATGTCAGGCAGTATTTTTATGCACATTTCATACTTTTCATCTAAACTTAAAACAACCCTATAAAGTAGATACTTTCATAATTCCCATTTTATGAACTGAGGATTATAGATACCACATAATTTTCAGAAGTAAATTGTGGAGATGGGGTTCAAACCTAAGTCGTCAGAACCAGGACCAGAAAACAATGTGTAAACGGGAAATGACATTTTAGAGGGACCTAGAATGCGTAGTGCTGATTGGCAAACAAACAAGGGAAAGGAATTCCAAACAGAGGGAACAGCATGAACAGAAAGCATGGAAGCTTGAGATGTGTTGATTGTGCTTGATGTGGTCCTGTAATATGTACCTGGGGCCACTATACCTCTTCACTACTTATATAAACCCTTTCCTGAATGTGCCTGTTCTAAGCAAAGGACAGTATGAAGCATACCTTTCAATAATTCCAGAGCTCATCGTTTCCTCATTCAATAAAGCCTTGCTCTTTATTTCAGCCAATTCTGTGTTTAAACAAACTTGTGCCATTTTCTCATGTGTTTCTGATATCCAAATCTGGAAAAATAAAAGCCGCATACAAGGAAAATAAATGAATTGCCACAAATGCTCAGTTATTAAAATATATTTCTGAAGTACATTCTGATTTTAATTGTTGACTCCATTAACATTAAAAAATAAGAAATGTCCCAAAGCAGTCAACGATTACATCATAAATATGTGAAAGTGGCAATTCTTTACTATGTTTTGTTGGAAAATAAAAATCAAGTTGGTGTTTCCATGAAATGGAAAGTACCGCATTCAACTACATTCCAATGCTTATTTGCTTTCTATTTCCTTCTCAAGATTAGTATATTTTAACTTCTCTAAGTAAGAAAATGTACCAATCACTTTGTAAATCACATAGGACTTCAGATACCATCATCATTATCCATTCTCTATCACAGAGGATAATTCAATGAATTATCAAGCAATTATCACTACGAGAAAAACCTGATAATTACAGGGGGTACTAAAGTCAATTGCAGAAGCATCATGGTAATATCTAGAGGATCTCAGAAAAAAATGGATGCTGAGGATTCAATATTCTTCCCATACAAAACTCTAGAATATCACAAATGTGGAGGTTCACAGCAGAGATTCAGAACTCACCACCACCGAGAAACCAACTACTTTCTCCAAATTTGAAGACTAGCTTCCCTAAGACATCCAATGAAGCCCAAGATCACATTAATTCCACTAGATTTGTTCAGAAAAGATAAACTACTGTTTAGAAATTTGGAGACTTCAGCTGCAAGAGTATCATAGCTAGAGTCAAATTCCTTTGGTCCATTTTTGTTAAGTATAAAAAGGCTCTGTAAAACTAAGAACCCATCCTACACAAAGCAATTTTAACTGTAGTCTCTGATCCTGGCTCCCTGGTCTCCTCCTAGGCTTCTATGACCACTGCCCCCTAAGACCTCAACCTTCTAAATCACCAGCCTCCAAGCCTAATTTCCTAGCTCTGACTCCTGTACTCTTAGCTCAACTACTCTTCCTCATAGATTCCAAAGTTCGCAAGTCAGTGGCAGGGGACACTGTATTGGGCTTCATATTTTATACTTTAACGAAAAATAAGACATTATCTTTTAGGGAAAAAATTACTAGGTATCATTTTGTTTTAAGGTATAAGGTTGACCCCAAAATTAACCTTAGATATGCTCTCATCATTTTTTTAAATTTTATTGATTTATTTACTTTTACACAGCAGGTTCTTACTAGTTATCTATTTTATACATATTAGAGTATATATGTCAATCCCAATCTCCCAATTCATCCCACCGCCACCACCACCACCCCCACTTTCCCTCCTTGGTGTCCATCCGTTTGTTCTCTACATCTGTGTCTCTATTTCTGCCTTGCAAACCAGTTCACCTGTACCATTTTTCTAGATTCCACATATATGCGTAAATATACAATATTTGTTTTTCTCTTTCTGATTTACTTCACTCTGTATGACAATCTCTAGGTCCATCCACGTCTCTACAAATGACCCAATTTCGTTCCTTTTATGGCTGAGTAATATTCCATTGTATATATGTACCAAATCTTCTTTATCCATTTGTCTATAGATGGGCATTTAGGTTGCTTCCATGATCTGGCTATTGTCTATAGTGCTGCAATGAACATTGGGGAGCATGTGTCTTTTTGAACTATGGTTTTCTCTGGGTATATGCCCAGTAGTGGGATTGCTGGGTCATATGGCAATTCTATTTTAAGTTTTTTAAAGAACCTCAAAACTGTTCTCCATAGTGGCTGTATCAATTTACATTCCCATCAACAGTGCAAGAGGGTTGCCTTTTCTCCACACCCTCTCCAGCATTTGTTGTTTGTAGGTTTTCTTATAATGCCCATTCTAACTGGTGTGAGGTGATACCTCATTGTAGTTTTGATTTGCATTTCTCTAATAATTAGTGATGCTGAGCATCTTTCCATGTGCCTCTTGGCCATCTGTATGTCTTCTTTGGAGAAATGTCTATTTAGGCCTTTGGCCAGTTTTTGGATTGGATTGTTTGTTTTCTAAATATTGGGCTGCATGAGCTGTTTACATATTTTGGAGATTAATTCTTTGTTCACTGATTCATTTGCAAATATTTTCTCCCATTCGGAGGGTTGTCTTTTCATCTTATTTATAGTTTCCTTTGCTGTGCAAAAGTTTTGAAGTTTCATTAGGTCCCACTTGTTTCTTTTTGTTTTTATTTCCATTACTCTAGGAGGTGGGTCAAAAAAGATCTTGCTATGTTTTATGTCAACGAGTGTTGTATGTTTTCCTCTAAGAGTTTTATGGTGTCTGGTCTAACATTCAGGTCTTTAATCCATTCTGAGTTTATTTTTGTGTAGGGTATTAGGGAGTGTTCTAATTTCATTCATTTACATGTAGCTGTCCAGTTTTCCCAGCACCACTTACTGAAGAGATTGTCTTTTCTCCATTGTGTATCCTTGCCTCCTTTGCCATAGATCAGTTGACCACAGGTGCGTGGGTTTATCTCTGGGCTTTCTATCCTGTTCCATTGATCTATATTTCTGTTTTTGTGCCAGTACCATATTGTCTTGATTACTGTAGCTTTGTAGTATAGTCTGAAGTCAGGGAGTATGATTCCTCTGGCTCTGTTTTCTTCCCTCAAGATTGCTTTGGCCATTCAGGGTCTTTTGTGTCTCCATACAAATTTTAAGATTTTTTGTTCTACTTCTGTAAAAAATGCCATTGGTAATTTGATAGGGATTGCATTGAATCTGTAGATTGCTTTGGGTAGTATAGTCATTTTTACAATATTGATTCTTCCAATCCAAAAACATGGTATATTTCTCCATCTGATAGTGTCATCTTTGATTTTTTCACCTGTGTCTTATAGTTTTCTGAGTACAGGTATTTTACCTCCGTAGGTAGCTTTATTCCTAGGTATTATATTCTTTTTGCTGCAATGGTGAATGGGATTGTTTCCTTAATTTCTCTTTCTGATCTTTCATTGTTAGCGTATAGGAATGAGAGAGATTTCTGTGCATTAATTTTGTATCCTGCAACTTTACCTAATTCACTGATTAGCTTTAGTAGTTTTCTGTTGGCATCTTTAGGATTTTCTACATATAGTATCATGTCATCTGCAAACAGTGACAGTTTTACTTCTTTTCCAATTTGTATTCCCTTTATTTCTTTTTCTTCTCTGATTGCCATGGCTAGGACTTCCAAAACTATGTTGAATAAGAGTGCCGAGAGTGGACATCCTTGTCTTGTTCCTGATCTTAGAGGAAATTATTTCAGTTTTTCACCATTGAGAATGATGTTAGCTGTGGTTTTGTCATATATGGCCTTTATTATGTTGAGGTAGGTTACCTCTATGCCTATTTTCTGGAGAGTTTTTGTCATAAATGGGTGTTGAATTTTGTCAAAAGCTTTTTCTGCATCTATTGAGATGATCATATGGTTTTTATTCTTCAATTTGTTAATATGGTTTATCACATTGATTGATTTGCGTATATTGAAGAATCCTTGCATCCCTGGGATAAATCCCACTTGATCATGGGGTATGATCCTTTTAATGTGTTGCTGGATTCTGTTTGCTAGTATTTTGTTGAGGATTTTTGCATCTGTACTCATTAGTGATACTGGTCTGTAATTTTCTCTTTTTGTAGTATCTTTGTCTGGTTTTGGTATCAGGGTGATGGTAGCCTTCTAGAATGAATTTGGGAGTGTTCCTTCCTCTGCAACTTTTTGGAATAGATTGAGGAGGATGGGTGTTAGTTCTTCTCTAAATGTTTGATAGAATTCACCTGTGAAGCCATCTTGTCCTGGACTTTTGTTTCTTGGAAGGTTTTTAATCACAGTTTCAATTTCATTACTTGTGATTGGTCTGTTCATATTTTCTATTTCTTCCTGGTTCAGTCTTGGAAGGTTATACCTTTCTAAGAATTTTTCCATTTCTTCCAGGTTGTCCAGTTTATTGGCATAGAGTTGCTTGTAGTAGTCCCTTACAATGCTTTGTATTTCTGTGATGTCCATTGTAACTTCCCCTTTTTCATTTCTAATTTTATTGATTTGAGTCCTCTCCCCCTTTTTCTTGATAAGTCTGGCTAAAGGTTTATCAATTTCATTTATCTTCTCAAGGAACCAGCTTTTAGTTTTATTGATCTTTGCTACTGTATTTATTTCTGCTCCGATCCTTATGATTTCTTTCCTTCTACTAACTTTGGGTTTTGTTCGTTCTTCCTTCTCTATTTCCTTTAGGTGTAAGGTTAGATTGTTTGAGATTTTTCTTATTTCTTGAGGTAAGATTGTATTGCTATAAACTTCCCTCTTAGAACTGCTTTTGCTGCATCCCATAGGCTTTGGATCATCATGTTTTCATTGTCATTTGTCTCTAGTTATTTTTTGATTTCCTCTTTGATTTCTTCAGTGATCTCTTGGTTGTTTAGTAACGTACTGTTTAGCCTCCATGTGTTTGTGTTTTTTATGTTTTATTTCCCTGTAATTGATTTCTAATCTCATAGTGTTGTGGTTAGAAAAGATGCTTGATATGATTTCAATTTTCTTATATTTACTGAGGCTTGATTTGTGACCCAAGATGTGAACAATCTTGGAGAAGGTTCCATGTGCACTTGAGAAGAAACTGTAATCTGCTGTTTTTGGATGGAATGTCCTATAAATGTCAATTAAATCTATCTGGTTTATTGTGTCATTTAAAGCTTCTGTTTCCTTATTTTCTGTCTGGATGATCTGTCCATTGGTGTAAGTGAGGTGTTAAAGTCCCCCACTGTTATTGTGTTACTGTCGATTTCCTCTTTTATAGCTGTTAGCATTTGCCTTATGTATTAAGGTGCTCCTATGTTGGGTGTATATATATTTATAATTGTTACATCTTCTTCTTGGATTGATCCCTTGATCATTATGTAGTGTCCTTCCTTGTCTCTTGTAACATTCTTTATTTTAAAGTCTGTTTCATCTGATATGAGTATTGCTACTCCAGCTTTCTTTTGATTTCCATTTGCATGGAATATCTTTTCCATCCCCTCACACTCAGTCT